GTGCTCAAACTTATTGCTGTAATTAAAGAGTGTGCTCAGACTTATTGTTGTAATTAAAGAGTGTGCTCAGACTTATTGCTGTAATTAAAGAGTGTGCTCAGACTTATTGCTGTAATTAAAGAGTGTGCTCAGACTTATTGTTGTAATTCAAGAGTGTGCTCAGACTTATTGTTGTAATTAAAGAGTGTGCTCAGACTTATTGTTGTAATTAAAGAGTGTGCTCCTACCATAAAGGAAAGTTTTAACTGAAACAATAGATTATATTGACTGCATGATTTTGTGGATTTCGGTTGAAAGCAGTATAGTGATTACCAAAGGTTGTAAACTGAAATGATTAGGAACACTTCTTGGGCTCCTCTGTTCTTTGGAACAATGATTTTATTTAGTAAGCAAAGAAATCACTGCAAGGAGCTAACAGTGAATGAGATTAGAATTGATTAATTTAAGTTATTTGATAATCATCAAACCTGTGCTTACCTATTCTTAGCAGCAGCGGCACGGTCTCTTTGCCGACGGTTTTTGAACCAGTTTCCCACTTGGGTCGGGGTGAGACCGGTGGCCTCCGCCAGTTCGCGTTTCTTGGTCGGGTTTGGATAGGGATCTTGTAGGTACCATTCTCGTAACAGGCTTCTCGTGCGCTCCTTGAAGCAGTGGGTTTTCTGTTCTCCGTCCCAGATGGTCCGGGGTAAGGGAAACTTCTTTCGTACTCGATACTTGTCTACTGGACCTAGCGGTCGGCCGCGAAGTTTCTCGGCCTCGTGATAGTGAGCTTCGAGCCACATGGCCTGCAGCTTAGCATGGGAGTGCTTGGAGAAGCGGTAGCTCTCGAGAATGTGGTACAGTTCACGGAAGTTGCCCGTGTGGAAAGACACGAGCGCTCTTGCTCGAAGCACGGATTCGTTCTTGTTCAAGTCCGCACAGTTAGGGTGAGCGACGGGCAGCGACCACAAGAATCGTCCCAGCCGTTCAATATCTCCACTCTCCTCTAGCGTTTCACATACAGCAGCCACCTGGCCCACGGTGAAATTTAGGGTGGGAAGGATGAACATAGGGCTGTAGCCCGACACGGGGACGGCGGCTGGCCCCAGGCCCAGCGCCATTCGCTACAACAGTTGAAGGATCACACTACAGATCAGACTCCTCCACAATACCCATACAGGCAATAAAGTGTCAGTGTCCGATATCTCTCAGGCTCGGCTCCCCTGCCTTAGTGAGAAGTGATGCGAGCCCTGATTCCTTATACGATCACCCGTTCCCATGCTTAGAACATCACTATTAGCGATAAACACAAGGGAGGGGCCCGGATAGTAGATAGGTGCCACGTTTAATCACGAGGCACGCTGCTCCAAAGAGAGCTCATTTGCTGACATTTTCGCTTCCGAGAACAACCACGACTCCCATTGGTCGAGTTGCTATGGCGACCACGCCAATCAATGTCACAGATGCCAATCACGAGTAATAGTGAGGAATGCAGCCAGTGACAGATAGATGTCAGGCTCGGCAGTCGAAAGCCCGTGATACCAACTCAATAGTTAACTGTCCTCCTACGAGACAGTTACTTAGTTAAAACACTTCCAATGCCACTGTTCATTTCTTCCAAGTCGAAGGCGGACGAATGTAGCTGAAAAACGTCCATTGTAGCTCCAGCTCTTTTTAATTTTGTGTACGTTTTTCATAAAACTGCAAGATTAGCCCAGATAACGTGTGTACGGTGGGCTCGTTCTCAGTATTAAGAAAATTACAGTAAAGCGCGGAAAAAAAAAGTTAATTCAACACGCTTCCTTCTATCCTGTGATAAGTTCGTCCGTCTTGCAGCGTTTCAGAGTCCCTCTGTTCATTTCAGAATATTAATTAGTGAAAATTGTCTTTTGTGTACATAATGCTAATACATTAGCAAGTTGTCAAACAATGATGTATAAGAATAATGAAAATTATTTTATTTGGAGAACATGCTAGATGCTGTTTATATTAAGTATTTTTCATTATGTTTATAAATCGTTGTATGTCAGTTTACCAGTCAGAAGATTGTACCAGTATTTCATAAAACAGCACTTGATGAAGGAAAACTAAGGTGTCACTGATTGAGTATTCAAGAAAGTTCTTCAAGAGAAGCATTATTTCTTCCAAAAAAAAACAAAAAACAACAACATCTTAATGGAGCCTATCTGTATATTTTGAGGACCATTCGTGAATTATAAATAAATACTGAATGTAATGAAACTCATCGGTATTTGTAAAGCGCCATCTTTTGGCTGTATCCGAAAGTTTGTCAAGTGGAGGTACTTTTACTAATTTTAAAGTTATATTAATTACCTATACAGACAGTAATTGCTACCTATGTTTTACCTGTATGTGGTTGTGTATTTAAAAGTTAGGATTTTTTTGTTGTTACAAAAGTATGTGGATAAAGTAATGTTTATAATTCGTTGCACTCCTATTATGAAAACTCATTTATTTCTTGTATTTTACTGACTGAAACTACATTGTGTTGAAACTATATTGTCCTGTATAGAAGACGAAAATACGATATTGTCAATTACTAACCCCTAACCTAGATTCTTGTCGAAAAATGAATGTGTAGTAAACAGTGTAATTGATGAATTTTCTGCTCAAGAAAAGTAAGCAAGAAGTTAAGGTTCTTCAAAGTAATTAAATAAAGGCAGGAAAAAAAATTCATTGGGTATTTATGGTACGGTTCAAAAATATCGGGGATTAGATATAATGGTATTCATAATTATGTGCTCATTCTAATTGAATATAGAAGAATTACAATAGAGAAAACCATTAATATGTTGTTCCGGGAATACTACAGAATGTTATTCTGTCTTTCAATGGTGCTGTAAACGAGTTATCGAGCGTGTCAGTGGTTACTAAAAGTAATAACTTTGATTTTTTTTTCTTCAATTTCCCAGGTCTCGTACTTATGGAGGCGCGAGTTGGCTCTGTGGTAGAGCTCTGGATTTCTTGGAGCTGAGAAACCGGGTTAGATGGGATTCCGGATTTCGGAACTGACGAGTCATATTTGAATCTGCGTGATACCACAAAATATTCCATGCACTTTAAGATATGGGTGCGTCAATCCCTTAACATGGATAGTGGGTAATGGAGTGATGCTGACTGGCTGCCTTCTCTCTGGTCAGTAGCTCAAAGTTAAGGACGCTGACAAATGGCATTAATAGCTTTGTCGTAAATACGAACTTGTGTTGCTGTGAAACCCTATATTGTTTAAATTTGGGTTTAATGTTTAAAACTGTATTACAAATATGGAGTTGAAAAATGTAATCACCTATAAATAGTGTTTTGTTTGTTTGTTTGTTTTTGAAATTAAGCACAAAGCTACACAAA